GGTTCCTGATTTAAGTTCCAGTTTCTTTTTTGCTATGTTACCATGCTGTTGATAAGGGGTAAATAGTAGAGGTTTGAACTTTAATAACAATTTGGATTATGCTTCTAAGAAGTGGAAGTTGTGGTGTCTTAGATTGGGGTTCATAAAATCCAGACAGTCACCATATTTTTGTATTATTTTTGGTTAAGTTTCTTAAATGTATTTTATCAAATACATTTAAAACACTTGGCTATGTGTCTGCTAAGGTTCATATGTAAAATGTTTTCCTTATTCTGACTTTATTATCAGAATAAAAATATTTCCTTTGAAGTGATCAAAAGTATTTTATAAATCCTACTTTAACATTTTGTTCTTCTTCTTCTTTTTTTTTTTTTGTAACAGTCATTCCTACACCGGCCAAGATTATAGTACCCAGGGAAATGCTGGGAAGATTTCTTTAGATCAGATCGATTCGGTAAGCATCACATACTTTTAAACTTCAGACTTTGTCAGTGGAGGAAGCACAGATTTTCTTCAACAAAAGAGTTTTGAGTGGGAAGATGGGAGAGGAGATTATTTCATTGTTTGCCAATCATTTTCAAAGAAAATTCTGTGTCCTATAGGCACGATTTTTTTTTAAAATCCTAGGAAAACCAAACTTAATCAGAAAATTATTTTTACTTTGATTAAAAACAGAATTTAGTCAATTATTCCAAAAGAGAATTCTTTTGGGTAATGATAGCTAAATGGTGTTTATGTGTTTATATTTAAATACCATATACATTTAGAAAAGGAGAAATGAAAAATACTAAATGTATTAGCTTGTTAGGGCTGTCATAACAAAATACTGCAGACTGGTGGCTTAAACAACAAAAATTTATTTTCTCACTGTTTGGAGGTTAGAAGTTCAAGATGAAGATGACAGCAAGTCTGATCCCCCCTGGGGCATTTCTTCATGTCTTACAGATGGCTGCCTTCTTGTTGTGTCCTCATATGGTTTTTCCACTGTTCATGTATATTCCTGGTGTCTCCTCTTCTTCTAAGGACACTAGTCATATTGGACCAGGGCCTCACCCCCATGACCTCTTTTAACCTTAATTACTTCTTTAAAGGCCCTATCTCTAAATATAGTCATATTCTGAGATGCTGAGGGTTAAGACTTAGGGGACACAATTCATTCCTTAATAGTAAGTATAGGCTACCGTTCTTGGGTTGCCACTAGATTAATGGATAGCTCATTTCAGCTTCATTTCACTTTGTGGTTTCATAGTAGAATGAAAGAGAAGTGTACTTTGCTATTCTTTAATTTGTAGACTTTCTCTTTAATACATAATAGAAATTGCATTCCATCCACAAAAAGGGGAAATAAGCCAGCCATAAATAATCTTTGTTTAGATTACCAAATTATTCACAATAAATTAAAAGTACACTGAGATTTTAATGCTTGGAAACAAGAATTTTAATAAGGTTATTAGGGAGAGACCAAGAATTTTTAGAGACCAGAATGAATAGTTGGTCTTATTATTTGAAAAATTATAATCAAGTACTTGAAGTTTCTCTGTCTAGAAATGACAGTAGGATTGCCTACCTTATACAGTTGATTTGAAATTTGTTCTCAAGGGTATCCCATCTTTCAATTTTTACAAACATATCATTTCTAACAGTCTTCCCCTTCCCCATATGATTTGGTTTACATGAATGGTCGAAGGTTAAGTGTGTTCCTAATTCTAGCTAGATATTTTCCCATTCACAAGCAAATGTGAATTTGGTTGGATACAGTGTGAGTACATACATGTATAATCACTAATTAATTTAGTCAATGTATATTGAGCCCATCAATTATGTACCAGCTACTGTGCTGTAGATAGAGAGGTAAATAAAACAAAATGTCCCTACCTTCATGGACCTTACTTGGGGGAGACAGACAACATAGTAAATAATAGATGGGCAGTATAATGCTAAATTATATTAAGTGCTATGATGATGATCGTATCATGGGCCTGTGCCTGAGGCCCTGTTCTGAGTAATACAGATGTATCTTTATTTGGGCTACTTCCTAACTCTGTGTCTGTATTGCCTCATCCTCATGACAGCATGCCATTAGCATATTCCTTCATATACCTACCTCTTCTCCAGATGATCCCTTTAGATTTTTCTACTAACTGAAATCTGGCTTTCTCAGTGACACTTTGCCCTGAGACCCTCTTAAAGTAGAGGCTGCTTTTTTTCCCCACACCCTATATAGGTTTGGGGTGAGTGTCTTCCTTGGTCCACATTACCACTTCTAACTCATTTCTTTACCTTCCATTGTCAGAGCTCCAGCTCCTTTAAATCCCTCATGATCATATTATACCACCCTATACCTCCCTTGTTTTTGCTCCCCTTACCCCCACCTCATTCACTGATGATTTTTAGCACCAAGCGAATAGTCTCTTGCACTAGCTCTGCTTCTATTATTGTTTTTTGCCTCTGCAACATCCATGTTGATAATTCATCCATAGCCTGGCATTGTAATTCCTTTGCCTGCTCAATTTCCACAATCACTTTTCTATCTCATTATGGCCAACCCTGATGCTATCTTTTCCATTTCCATTATTTGGACTACTGCCAAAGCCTCTTAAGTATTCTTCCTGCCATGTAATCTGTTCTCTACATAATAGCCAGAGTTTGCTTTGTTTATTGGATCACATCAGTCTTCTGGTCAAAACTCTCCAGTGGCTTTCCATCATATTTAGATTAACATCCAAACTCATTTTACGGCCTATAAAGCCATATGTACTAGTCATTCCAATTTAGTCTTCTGCTCCCTTCTGGCTCACTCACTCTGCTCTAGCCACATGGACCTTATGCTGTTGTTTAGCACAACAGATTCATTTCTTCTCAGAGTCTTTGCTTTTGTTTTCTTTATGTGAACAGTAGTCCAGGATCTTCATTTGACTGGACTTTGATTTAAAATATAGATCTTAGCTGAAATGCCATCTTCTCAGAGAGGTTTCCCTGGCCACCCAAGTTAAAATACCTCTCTCCTAGCACACTTGATCCCATTACTCTATTTCCAGTGCTTTTGGAATTAGACATTACTGTCTTTTTTTTTTTTTTTTTTAAGCTCCTGACTTTGAGATTAAGCTTTTCTTTTTCCTTTGTTTGTTTATTTTTTAATTGGGGGAGAATATATTATTTCAAGCTTCATACAGATCAACATTTTATAAGACATGTAATAGTGAATATAAGAACTGCTGTGTCTTTTTTCTTTACTTACCTGAATTAAAGTGGAAAATTGTTTTATTTACCTTCTTGTTTTCTAAAGCAACTAATAAATATTTATTCTGTAACATATAGTTAAAAAGTAGTTAGATATTGAGGGAACCTTGCATGTTCATACTAAGGATGTTGATATTCATTGCTTTTTTTGATTAGAACAAGGTTTAAGAAAAAATAATTAGGTAGTAGTATGAAGGAACAAAAATGGTCACATGAAAATGAGCTGGAAGGCTTTGCAGTAGTCCTGCCAAGGAAGGATATGGGTCCTAATGAACTAGTTAGGGAATGAAAAAACTTAGAAGTTGTTACTGTGACAGGGTAAAGAGAAACTGGATGGTCACTAGAGGGAGCAGCCAAGTCAAGCAAAGTGAGACCTGCTGTTCCTTACAGACAAATTGAATTTGCCAAGGAATATGTGAGGGAGTGAGAATTTAAGTCTTGGGAGGAGGATATTTGAGGAAGTCAGAGAGAATGCAATTAAGACCATAAGTAAAAAAGTTGGGTTAAAAGTGACAGAGATATTTCATTTTCGACCTGCAGGGGTCTTGGGAGGAGGATATTTGAGGAAGTCAGAGAGAATGCAATTAAGACCATAAGTAAAAAAAAAAGTTGGGTTAAAAGTGACAGAGATATTTCATTTTCGACCTGCAGGGTTTTTTTTCTTTTAACTATTGCTTTCTTTAACACATATATTTGAATTTTCCTTTTGAGGACTATTTCTCTTATTTTATATTCTACTTTGTATTTGAATTATCTTAAAAGTAAGATAATCTGCTACTTGGCCATTGTACTTTTGGATATTAATCTCAGGGAAATGAAATCTTATGTACACCATAACACACAAAAACCTCTACAAGAATATTCATAACAGCTTTATTTGAAATTATCGTAAACTGGAAATAACCCAAGCATTCTTCAGTGAGTGAATGGTTAAACAAATTGTGGTACATCCATCCTATGGAATACCACTTGATAAAAAAAATAAGTGAGTTTAGATGCAACAATTTAGATGAATCTCTAGAAAATTATGCTGAGTCAAAAAAGCCAGTCCCAAAACATTGCGTACTTATATGATTGTACTTATATAATACTCTTGAAATGACAAAATTATGGGGATGGAGAACAGGTTAGTTGCCAAGGACTAGGGAACTGCTGATGGTGGGAGTAGAGAGGGTAGGTAGGGCGGGGGGGTTATAAAAGGAAAACATGAAGCATCCTTGTGGTGATAGAACTGTTTTGCATCTTGACTGTGATGGCAGATGCATGAACCTACACATGTGATAAAATTGCCTAAAATTGAATACACACACACACAGAAATAAATGCATGAGTACAAGTGAGGAAATCTGAATAAGACTAGCATATTGCATCAATGTCAATATCCTGGTTGTGGTAATGTACTATAGTTTTGCAAGATTTTATATTGGGGGAAACTGGGTGCATGATTTCTCTTTGTATTATTTCTTATAAATGCACGTGAATCTATAGTTACCTCCAAAGAAAAAGTTTTAAAAAAACCAAGTGAAATAAGTTTTAATAGTATATTTTATTTAACCCAATATATCCAAAATATTATCATTTTAACATGTAATTAATATAAAAATATTAATAAGAAAAGTTCATTTGTAATCACAGTAATATAGTTATATTTCCTTATGGTCTTTGTTTTTGTTCCAATTAGACTGAATTTTCAGCCACAACAAATATTATGGGAAATGTAGTAAGTCTTACACATAACCAAAAACTGTTTTTTCTTGTAGCTTTCTACCAAATCTTTCCCACCTTGCATGCGTCAGTTACATAAAGCCTTGCGGGAAAATCACCATCTTCGTCATGGAGGCCGAATGCAGTATGGTCTGTTCCTGAAGGGCATTGGTTTAACATTGGAACAGGCGTTGCAGTTCTGGAAGCAAGAATTTATCAGGGGAAAGATGGATCCAGATAAGGTAATTTTGAAAAATCAGAGTGGTAACTAAAATTTTAATTTGGTCTGAAAACTAATCTATTTTTTTAAATATGCTCCCTGAAATGTAGTTGAAAATTCTAAAAGATAAATGTGTCTACAGTTTAGTTTAGGTAAAAAGAAACTCATGTATTAATCCAATAGGTGCTAAGCGAAAGATTGGGACAGGAGTCTTCTCCTTTGTAGGTATACTGTCAGTAGTAATTATAAGACTGAAATTGCTTTCTGAGTTATTCATCTGTAGGAATGTATATGTGTACACACAAACATAATGTTTTGGGGACTAGGAGATATTGTGAATAAATAAAGTAAAAACAATTTAAAATGTTTTTTATGTTATGCACAATCTTTCATAGAGCGTATTTCGATAGTAATTACTATAAACCCGGCAGCTGCTTTTAAACCTCTCATAGTATACAGATTCCCATTCCCACTTTTCATTTCTTTGTAATAGTGCTAGCTAAGAACATTTTATTTGGAAATATGGTTTCCTGCCCCTTCTATGCCATGGCAGTGTGGTATGAAGTAAATTTTTTATTGTTTATTTCTTGGTTTGCTTCCTCCTAAAAACTGGTGAATTATAGAATAAACAATATTTACCAAGTAAATTTTATAGTAACACTTCCTGTATTAGGTATAAGTACCACAGACTGGTTGGTTTGAACAACAGAAATTTATTTCCTCACAATTCTGGAGGCTGGAAGTCCAAGATCAAGGTATTGGCAGGTTTGGTTTCTCCTCTGGCTTCTTTGCTTGGCTTGAAGATGGCCTCCTTCTTGCTGTGCTCTCATATGGCCTTTTTTCTGGCATGTGCATCCCTGGTGTCTCTTCCTCTTTCTATAAGGACACAAGCCCTATTGAATTAGGGCCCCATGCTTATGCTGTCATTTAACCTTAATTACCCTTTTAAAAGCCCTCTCTCTAAGTATAGTCACATTTGGAGTTAGGGCTTCAACATGTGAATTTTAGAAGAACACAATTCAGTTCATAACATATCTCTAGCTATATACTTTATTAAAAAGATCTTTTTATAACATATTATAAAAAGCTCTTAGTTTTTACAGATTTGTTTTAACAACTGTCTTTATTAATATTATCTATAGAATTTTAAGTCATTTAATAGGATTTTTTTCGAACACAGTTTTAGATAATGTTTGTTAGACTTACTGTCATATTTCTTTTATTTTAAAAATGACATTCTGATTATAAAAATATGAAAAGTATGGAAAAATTTATCTATTATCCCTCTCCTTCAGAAATGATTACAGTTAACATTTTAACCTTTCTCTCTACTCTAGATAGCTAGATACCATTGTGTTTTCTCCCCATTTTAAGTAATGACGTAATATAATTAAAAGATAAGTTGAATTTAAAAATAATATGAATCTTCCCATGAACTTTTTAAAGTACCCTTGTATGTTATGATAATTTCTGTGTTGTTGACTAATTTTTGAAAATATCATTTTAATTAGTTGCATAATATTTCATACTTTGAAAGTGATATAACTCGCTTAATTATTCTCCTATTGTTGGATATTCAGTTGTCTAATTTGACTCTGTCATAAATATTATTGCAACCAATATCTTGAGGTCAGAACTAATTGATTATAGTTTTGATTATGTCCTCTGCATATATTCACCAGGAAATAGAATTACCTGATAAGAAACTATAGACAGTTTTAATGTTTTGATGCATGCTATGAAATGACTGTCCAGAAGATTTTAAATTAGACCTTCATCAAGCTATGTGAGAATCTTGCTCTGCCATCTTCCCTGGCTTGGGCATGTTGCAGGCTTTTTTGCATACATTGAATACTTTTCTATCTAAGATTATACTTAATGTTGGAGGGTAGTTCGTTGTCTGTATTCTAAAATAATCTAAAACTGTATATATTAGTGTTTATAACTGTCCTCCAGAGTATAAATATTAAAATAGGATGTCTGTAGAAACCTTTTATTAAGGTTAAACAGTTTTTGTATTATAGTCTACAAAATTCTTGTTTTCTGTTATAAACAGTTTTAAATAGTAATAATGAGATTGTGGAAGCAACTTAAGGTTCTGATGCTCACTGTTAGTTATTTCTTATTAGGAATTTGATGTATTAAGCTCTGTGTATGTAAAAAGTAGCCATCTGTCTATAGAATGCTTATTCAGAGTTGTTAGTTTGGAGTGGTTATTTTTCTATTCTTTTAAAACTATTTTCAGACTAGTGTACATACTCCAGTAAATGATATTAATAATATACAGAGGCACCAACTTTTGTAGCTCCCAGTTATTTGCTACCAGATTATGCTCTTATAATTTTGGGCACTAATCACTACCTCATATTTATTGTTTATTTATTCATTTGTTACCTGTATCCTACAACTAGAATATAAACTATATAAAAACAGGTATCTTGTCTTTCTTGTTCACTGCTGCATGTTCAGGCACCTAGAACAGTGCCTGACTCATAGTAGGCACTCCGTAAAAGTTTATTGAATAAACTAATACATGGAAATTTCCACATTATTTACAGAGAATGAATTTCCATAGGAATTTTCACAGAATTAATTATTTGTTTATTGCTAAGTACATAGTAAATTCTACCAAAGCTTTAAAATTTGGCTTTTGGTATGAGGGAAAAAAAAAAAAATGCTTAATCTGTTTTGGTTCTTTTTAGTTAGAGTTATATATCTAACAAGTTATAGAATATTAAGTCATTTCAGTTGCTAGCCGTGTTTGGTGTCTTCCATGTGTTTTTCTCAATCAAAATTTGGGTTGGAAGAATATACAACTATATAAGAAGTGGTATCCAGTTATCATCGTTATTATTTAATGTTCAAAATATAGTATGTACTTAATTACAAATATTTAGATAATACATTGTCCAATTATGATTCTTATTTAAAGTACAAACAAATATGTATATATGTATGTGTGTATATGTATATACATACATACATAGTCCATCTACTTGGCATAGATTATTCAGGAGATTTTTCAGTGTTCACCATGGACATGTGTTGTTTTGAAGCTACTGGAATAAAAGACACAGCCCTTATTTACGAGTTCTTTACCGTCTCCTCGAAAAACCAGATAAATACAAATATACAGCCAGAGAAAGAAGGAAATTCCATGTTAAGGGGGCAACTTTCTCAAAGGACTTTAGAATGTAGCCCTCCTATAGGTAGTAGGAAACTGAACAGTACCAGTGTAATTGTGGCAAGAGATGAGTCTGGAGTCAGGATTCATACCTAATTACCAAAGATAGATGGATTAGTAGGCCAGTAGGAACTGTTCTTGCTGGGTAGGTAGCTACCAAGCAGGATTAGGTCAGCCATGTTGCCTCAATTGCTGTCTGTAATTTAGTTAAATATGCATAATATCACAACTTTGAAAATTTACTAAAATTGTATATTAAATGTGAGATATTATGAAGGTTTTCTGAAAAAAGAAAATAGTATGAATAAAATTTCTACTTGGTTCAAATTAATTTGGCCTCTCTAAATATGGATTTCTGATCATATGGGCCAACACTGATTGAAAAAAAAAAAAAAGAAACTCTTTTGCTTTAAGATTTTAATCTTCTTGGTAATGGGGTGAATTGAAAGAGATTGAAGTAACTGGAAACATTAACAAAACATGCTGGTGAAAGGAAAGTATTATTGAA